CAAGGCAAGTGTAGGTTCCTTTTCTTTTATTTTCTTTTAAATGACAATGAATAATTTGTTCTATGGGATTTTATTTTATTTTTTGTTTTAGGGAACTTGTGGAGTTTTAACCATGAATGAACTCTGTAAATCAAGGCACACAATAAATGACGGATCAACTGATTGATTGACATGTCACACAGGAAGTTGCTAGCAGTGATAGGGCTACATTCTGGGTCTCCACCACCCTGGACTTCCTCAGTGGGGAATAAACTCACTCTGACCATGGCTGGATTGAGCAGGCTCTGCAGCTCCAGGCTGGAAAGCCTCCTGAAAACTTGAAGTAAAAGGCAGCAGTTCTCCCAAGGGGGTCGTGAGCATTAATTAGTTACCACTGGTAAAGTGCTCTGAAGATGTGGGGTGTATAAACACAGCGAGTCATTAGGCCTCTCCATACCACTAAGCTCTATAGCCTGGGAACTGCTAATTGAGACATAATTAACACCTCAGGGTGCAGAGGATGGATGCTGGCTTTTCCAGGATTGGAAGGGATGTAATAATGTGTGCGGGGAGCAGGGAGAACTATTAGGCTACTTTGGATCCCGAAATATACCAAAGATTATTCACCTCCTGCCTCCCAGGAGGAAGTGTGGGGAATATTGCCTCCGTGAAGCCTTTGGGACGGCACTCGTTGGGGAAATCCTCAACCACAGTGCAGGCTGCAGAGGCTGAGCCACACTCTTAAATTCAAAAGAGCTCAGGTCTAGCCCAACTCTGTCCAGCCTCCAACTGGTTGGACAGATAGCAGTTCCTCAGTTGTAAGACTGAGATGGCAACATGCTTCCACCATCTCTGCTATTCCTCAACCCGGTTGTCAGTGCCCTTTCTCGAGGCCAGCAAATCCAGACCTGGCTGCACGCTAGGATCCAGGGACTATAAAGTACTGATGCCCAGGCCCACCCAGCTCAACACCCAGCCTCGCAGGGTTGGGCCAGGGTGCATACGGTGATTCCAGGGCAGTCACGGCTGAGAACCACTGCTTTGGCCCATGTGTCAAGCACGGAATGAGGAGTGGTGGGAACGGAAGATGTAAATCCCACCTCACACCTGCTCACCGTTTCCTGATTCTGTGCCTGTGAGTGTTCTGGTCCCTCTGCCGGGACATTGTACTCCACTCCCACGGGCATTCTTGTCCTGGTAAACACCATCCATCCTTCAGGCTCAGCTCCAAGCTCACCTCCTCGGCAAAGCCCTCCTTCCTGGCATTCCCACAGGAGGTTTATCAGCTCCCATTACAGCACGGATGACATTGGGCTGTTCCTTGCAGATCCTGGGTAAGCTGAGAGGTTCTCAGAGTCACTATCAGAATCACCGGTGTATTGCATCGGGTCTGGTACATTTTTTTAAATTTTTTTTTTATTGCTTAAAGTATTACAAAGGGTATTACATATGTGTCCTTTTTTTCCCCCCGCCCTTGACAGTCCCCTAGCCTCTCCTATTCCCCCGTTATAATGGTCTCTATTATCCATGAATGAGTGAGATCATGTGGTATTTTTCCTTCGGGTCTGGTACATTTTAAGCACTCAATAAACTATTGCTGTTATTACTTCGATGATATGCAGGTCCCACCTCAGTACGTTTGCACTTGTTATGCACACTGTCTGGAATATTCTTCCCCCAGATTTCTGCAAAGCTTTCTCATCTCCGTCAGGTTTTTGCTAAAATGAGACCTTCTCAATGAGGCTTTCTTGATCATCCTATTTTAAATTGCAACCACTCGACCTCCAACCTGTGCCCTTCTGATTAATTTTTCTCCAGAGTATTTGACAGCATCTGACTGGTGGATCCTGTCTTCATATAAAATTTTGATAAGTTGTTCACCATAGACTTTTTGCATTCCTTTTTAAATTAATTGCATTAAAATACCACTGCTCTTGATGACTGTTCTTTGGCCTTCCCTTAAGTTTCACTGTATTTGTTTATTGACTAGAATGTGAGCTACATTGAATACATGTTTGAAAATTGTTCCAGTATGGTGTACTCTGAAGAGTTGTGTACAGTGGGAGTGCAGAAAAGGAAGCGACTATCTCTATTTGGAAGGGTTAGAGAAGAGAATTTTGTTTTTGTTCACTATTCCCAGTTTCTACAAAAGTGGCTGGTACATGGTAGCTGCTCAAAAAATATTTTGAGTGCCCTAGCTGGTTTGCTCAGTGGATAGAGCTTCCGCCTGCAGACTGAAGGCCCCCAGGTTTGATTCCAGTCAAGGGCACATGCCTGGGTTGCAGCTCGATCCCCAGTAGGGGGCGTGCAGGAGGCAGCTGATCAACGATTCTCATCGTTGATGTTTCTATCTCTCCCTCCCCCTTCTTCTCTGAAATCAATAAAAATATATTTTAAAAAATATTTTATGAGTGAAAGTTTGATGTAGTGTCTTAAAGACTGCCTTTTTCCAATTGTTAAAAAAATTAAATTTATTTAAATGGAAAGCGTGTAAAACAATAAGGTAGATTTGAAACAACCTGGTCCATTGTATATGGATTACCTGTACAATGTTACATTTTGCCCGCAGTTACACTTTTGCCCGTGGTTCTCCCAGTCCGAGAATGGGGCGAGCCTTGGCAAGGGAGGAAACACCAGATTCAAAACGTGGAAAAAACGCTTTGACCATAGAGTTACACCTCCTTACCTCCTAGAGAGCACTTCCGGAACGGTGATGTCTCCTTAGCTGAGCTTCCGGAAAACCATTCACTTGTCTACAAGTTGGGTGGGGCTAGTCCCCTGAACTCGACTTGTGATTGGCTAGAAAGGAGGGAGGCGGAACTTCCCCTCTCCCCCCGCCCCCGCTCTCCCCCCGGCAGCCTGCTCCAGGCTCCCGTGTGCTAGACAGGCGGACGGGGTTGGCTGGAACTGCAATTGGTGAGCGTGGGTGACCGCGAGGACTGAGGCGCCCGCGGGAGGCGGCGGCGTGAAGAGAGGGCTCTGGGCGCGGACACCTGGCATCCTGGGTTGGGGCGGAGTCACATCACATAAACTTTTGGATAATACTCGTTTCCTGGTCTCAGTTTCCTCCGTGGAAAATTGAGGTCAGGACTTACTCTCTTGTCTACCTCAGGCTTTGGTACCGTCCTGAGAAAATTATGGTGGGGGGATTAATGGATTATAAACAGGAGTGATTGAATCAGTACATCTGAAATATGGAGACTGGGCAGATAGGAATCAAGGATCGTTCAGTTCATTCATTGATAGAGGTTTATTGAATGTCCGCTGTATCCTGGCACCGTGCTGGATGTTGCAATATAGCTTGGGACAAAATGGACATGGATATTGCCCACATGGAGTTCACAGCCCAAATCAGAGTGGGTGCACAGTTAAGCTTCTGCAGTTCTCCCAGTGTGGTCCCTGAGCCAGCGGCATCAGCATCACCTAGAAACACAGGTTTTCTGCCTAAACCCCAGACCTACGAAATCAGAAGCTGTGTGTGGGAGGCCTCGCTGTCAGTGTTTTAACAAGCCCGCCAGGTGATTCTGATGCTCCCTAAAGTTTCAGAACCACTCGTCTATTGTAATGTAACAGGTGGTATTGAGGGGCTATCAGCGGTTCTCAACCTGTGGGTCGCAACCCCTTTGGCGGTCGAACGACCCTTTCACGGGGGTCGCCTAAGACCATCCTGCATTACGATTTAGAACAGTAGCAACATTCAGTTATGAAGTAGCAACGAGAATAATTTTATGGTTGGGTCACATGAGGAACTGTATTTAAAGGGCCAGAAGGTTGAGAACCACTAGGCTAACTCAAGGCTGAGGCAGTAAGGGTCAGAAAGGAGGGGGTGGACTCAAGAGAAATATTGCTTTGGGAGGAGCCAAGGGTGAAGGCTTTCTGGCTTGGGCCGCCGGCCTGAGGTGGAATCTCAAGTGATGGAGTCAGGTGTGAAGCACATGCTTTCTGCCTTCAGGACCCATACTTCTCCATGCAGTCACACTAGGCCTCTGTAGCAGTGCCTCCCAACCTTGTCAGGTCAGAGGCCACATAGAAAATGATGACATCTGCACAGTGTGCAGGGGAAGTGGATGAAGCTGCCTGAGGTTGGAGGGGCCAGCTGGAGGACTTGAGGCTGAGAGCTGGAGGCAACTCGTGAGATTCCAGCGTCCCAGTTCTAAGAGGGATCAGGAACCCATTCTGGGCATACTGCAGGGGAGCTTTGCTCCGTGGCATATGCTGAAATCAGTGGTGCTCACTAAGTTTGACAATAGAAATCAAGAACCTTGGAAGTTTATACCCTTTTATTCAGTAATTTCATTCCTGAAAGTTCTCTTCCAAATATATAACAAAAACCTTCTGTTCATTGTAGATTTTATATATATATATATATACACACACACATATACATATATATATATTTCTTTATTGATTTCAGAGAGGAAGGGAGAAGGAGAGATAGAAACATCAATGATGAGAGAAAATCATCGATCGGCTGCCTCCCGCACACCCCCCACCGGGGATGGAGCCCGCAACCCAGGCATGTGCTCCCGGCCGGAATCGAACCTGGGACCCATCGTTCCGCAGGCCGACGCGCTATCCACTGAGCCAAGCCAGCCAGGGCGGAGAATCATTCTTAATAGTCAATGAATGAAATGTTGTACTCTCATTAGAAGTATGTGAATATTTGGTAAAAATCATAGAGAAACCTATGTGCTCATTCATCAGACAATGTCTAGTAAGCCCCTGCTGTGTGCTTAATGAAGAGCAAGTTAGATGTGGTCCTTGCCTGCACAGAGCAGAGCAACTGTGGGAAGACAGGTAGCTCATTGAGCAGTAACTCCAAAGAGTGATTGGTGTTTGGTGGGGGTGAGGGGCTGGTCTTTGGGGTATAGGGAGAGGGACAAGGAAGGCACCCTAGAGGACTAGATGCTAATCCTGAGGCCTGGAGGATGGTAAGTATTGGTATGCAAGGGGGAAAGTGTATTTAAAAGTGAGCATGGTGCAGCTGGAATGTGAAGAGGGAGATGGTAAGATGAGGCCAGAGGAGCAGCAGCCGGCTCACATGGGGCCATGAGCACTGTGAAGGTCAGAAACTTAGACCCAATTCTAAGGGTAGCAGGAAGCCATTGGAGGACGTTAAGCAAGAGAAACTATTACGTGTTTTGGAAGTATTCTCTGGCTGCAGGGTGGAGAATGGATTGGAGAAGGAGGGGATGGAAGCTGGATGCCCAGTGAGGAGGCTGTTGCAATAACCAGGTGAGATGATGGTGGCCTAGACCTGGCTGGAGGCTGTGGAGGTGGAGAGAAGGAATAGATGGAATAGCACATGAAGAGGTAGGAATGACAATGACAGGGCCAAGGGAAGTGGTATATATGAGACATGGATGGAGGGGATGAACCCAGGTTTCTGGTTTGGGCAAAGGGTGGCTTCTGGTGCCATTCAGAGTGATAGGCAGCACTGGATGGGGACAGGTTTGGGGGGAAGGTGCTGAGTTCCTTCTGGGGTGCTGAGTGTGATGGCAGTGTGTTCTCCAGGAGGCAGTTGGATAGGTAGGTCTGAAATTCGAGAGACACTTATGGGGGTGTAGATGTTGACTTGGAGCCATTAGCATGTGGCCTAACCAGGGAGTGTGTGTGTGTGTGTGTGTGTGTGTGTGTGTGTGTGGAGGGTGGAAAACAAGACATTTAAGGAGGGTGGGCAAAGGACAGGACTGACAGAAAAGGGATCATCAGCTGCAGTTGTCTCAGCCGAGGGATTATAGTTGCTTCCTTTTTTGTTTCTTTTACCCCCAGTTTTCTATAATAACAATAGCAATGTGCTAGATAACTGTTCCAATAACGTTTTATAACTCTTCTAAATCCCCACAATGAACCTCTAAGGTAGGTCCTATTACCATTTTACAGATGAAGGAGCTGAGCACAGGGGGTTAAGTCAGCGGGAAGCCCTCTGGAATCCAGGCTGCCTGGTGTCAGAGCCTGTGCATTCGCCACCTGTGTATGTCTCTTCACAGTACGCTATTGTATTTTTGTAAGTGGGAAAATATATTTTTTACATGGCAGTAGAGGGAAGAGAAGTATACTTGGATCTGCTAGGATATTCAAAATGAAAGGATTTGCACCTGCAGAATCAGTGGCTGTCTTTGCGATTTGTTGGGGCCAAACTGAGCTGGCTACTTCATAGTCAGACAGGTAACACTTATTTCTGCACCACTCGTTTTTCTCCAGGCACAAGTGCTTCCCTGTGCCGGGGTGTCATGGAAGGGCTGCTGACAAGATGCAGAGCACTGCCCGCTCTGGCCACCTGCAACCACCAGCTCTCTGGGTACATTCCCCGCGGGTTTTCCCACTGTGCCCCAGGGAGAGGGAGGCGCTTGGCGCTGTCCTGCATGTTCCAGCCCCAGAACCTTCGGGAAGACCAGGTGCTCCCAGTGGAGGGCAGATCTGGCGACCTGACCTGTAAGAGCCAGCGGCTGATGCTGCAGGTGGGCCTGATCCACCCAGCAAGCTCCGGCTGTTACCACCTCCTGCCTTATACTGTTCGTGCCATGGAGAAGCTGGTGCGGGTGATAGACCAGGAGATGCAGGCCATTGGCGGGCAGAAGGTCAACATGCCCAGCCTCAGCCCAGCAGAGCTCTGGCGAGCCTCCAACCGGTGGGACTTAATGGGCAGGGAGCTGCTAAGACTTAGAGACAGACATGGCAAGGAATATTGCTTAGGACCAACTCATGAGGAAGCCATTACAGCTAAGGAAGTTTCGGGATGAGCCCAGGCCCCGCTTTGGTCTTCTCCGTGGCCGAGAGTTTTACATGAAGGACATGTACACCTTCGACTCCTCCCCAGAGGCCGCCTGGCAGACCTACAGCCTGGTATGTGATGCCTACGGCAGCCTGTTCGACAGGCTGGGGCTGCGGTGTGTCAAGGTCCAGGCAGACGTGGGCAGCATCGGGGGCACGATGTCTCACGAGTTCCAGCTCCCAGTGGAGATCGGAGAGGACCGGTTTGCTGTCTGCACCAGCTGCAGCTTCTCGGCCAACGTGGAGACGCTAGGCTCGTCTCAAATGAACTGCCCTGCTTGCCAGGGACCACTGACTGAAACCAAAGGCATTGAGGTGGGGCACACGTTTTACCTGGGCACCAAGTACTCCTCCATTTTCAATGCCCAGTTTATTAACATCCATGGCAAACCTTCCCTGGCTGAAATGGGGTGCTATGGCTTAGGTGTGACACGGATCTTGGCTGCTGCCATTGAGGTTCTCTCTACAGAAGATTGCATTCGCTGGCCTAGCCTCCTGGCCCCTTACCAAGTCTGCCTCATCCCCCCGAAGAAGGGCAGTAAGGAAGAGGTGGCTGCAGAGCTCACGGGGCAGCTGTATGACCACATCTCAGAGGCAGTGCCGCAGCTTCGTGGGGAGATCCTACTGGATGACAGGACCCATCTGACCATTGGAAACAGACTGAAGGATGCCAACAAATTTGGCTACCCCTTTGTGATCATCGCTGGCAAGAGGGCCTTGGAGGACCCTGCCCATTTTGAGGTTTGGTGCCAGAACACCAGCGAAGTGGTCTTTCTCACCAAAGAAGCAGTCATAGAATTACTGAGCCACGTGCAGGTAGTCTAAATGCCCCAGCCCACCCTCCTCATGTTGAGCCTTGGAGTTCATTCTAATGCTGCTCCCTTTCCTGCACTCCTTTCTGGGGCTGGTCTCAGAAACAGGGAAGCTCATGGACGATGAGCACATGTTAGGGAAACCAATTTTTATCCAGTCATTTGTTCAAACTATTTGTATTTAAAGTCATTAGCTTGGTCCCTTCTCTGGCCTGGCCATGCTGCCATATACCATTCCTTTGATATCTTGTTAGGAGGCAGGGAGGCAAGAAAGAGCAGACTTCTTGTCCTGGCCCTGAGGCGAGTCACTTCCCTTCTCTCAGCTGTTTCCCATGTGTAGGGTGGGAGTGGCTGATAGCCAAGGCCCTCCTGGCTCCATAGTCTGACCACAGGCCACTTGCTGCATATAGTCTGGAGAGCAGGCCATGAGAAAATGGAACTAGATCTGTAAAGTCTTTAACAGCTGTCTGTCACTGGCTGGTTCCACGAGAGGTTCATAACAGACAGATCTGGTTCCTCTAATCCCCTTTAGTCTAAGTTACACAGAAAGTTGATATAATCAGCTAATGGCCCCAGTAGATCTACTCTATTGAGGTGGCTCTGCACTGAGATCATGTTGAGACGATTGAATAAAGTCAAACTATTGGGATGAGCTGTGCATGTTCATTTGAAACAGAGGTGATATTTGCCAACTTAATAGTACGGGGTACCTTGTCTTGAGAGTCTTCTTTCCCTTCTTTTTCTACCATTTCTACTTCCATTCCAAAAGGGGGATGGGTGTCTGGGAAAGTGTGTTTTAAACTGTTTCTTCCACAAATAAAGGATAGCAGGCTTTGAGTGCCACTATGACCTTATCGTCAGTGCAGAGTTAGATCCTAGAGCCATGATGGGTGAATACTAAGGTCTCTGCGTGAATTATGTGGAAAATTAGGAGCAAACTTGAGCCGCTACTGCAGCGCCACCTGCTTTCATTGCTCCTGCTCACCAGATTAGGTTCCCGACAAGTCCAAATCAAACAAGACTCTGACAAGGAGGAGCTCAAAGCCACCACCTCCTGAAAGCATACCCGATGACATCTGGAAGTGGCTCCCCCAAACTGTCCTGTTCAGCCCTTCTTGTTTGGGGCCACAAAACTCCTTGTTTGGTGGGCCAGCCTCTTGTAGCTGATGGTCAGCTCCCTGAGCCCAAGGTCCTAGGCAGATTCCAAGTGCCCTGCAGTTCGTGTCTTGGCCAGCTGTTCCACCTGCCACACAACTTCCAAGCGATTTGTTACTGCAAGAGTAACCCACCCTAGGCACACACCATTAGGTTCCCTCAGTAAAGCCTTTGCCAAGCCCTAATGCAGTGGTTCTCAACCTGTGGGTCACAACCATCGGAAAACACATATAGCATATCAGATATTTACATTACAATTCATAACAGTAGCAAAATTACAGTTATGAAGTAGCAATGAAAATAATTTTATGGCTGGAGGTCACCACAACATGAGGAACTGTATTAAAGGGTCGCGGCATTAGGAAGGTTGAGAACCGCTGCATGGCTCCCAGGCCTACCACGGAGCTCAGGCCCAGCATGTAGGTCAGGAGATGCGGATTCTGACGGCAAACCTAAAAAGGCTGGACTGAGGTATAGGAGCGTGGTCCTACTCAGAGGTTCTGCTTATGGGGTAGGATGTGGCCAGTGTCAGGAATTTAAAAGCCCCTGGATGATTCTAATGTACAAAGTCCATTGAGAGCTCCTGATATGCGGGTAGCTGCCTTCTCTGAGCCCACTGTGTACTTGAGCGTTTCTTTGAATAATTTTGGTTGTACATTATCAGACTGATGTGAGCTCACTGCTTTTAACGGTCTGGTTTTTATTTATTGGGGGCTTTCCATGTGCCATTGTGCTGTGAGGCCCTTTATATACTGTTTTCAGTCTTTGAAACTGCAGGAGAGGTGCTGTTATTCCCATTTTACCAATGAGTGAACCTGAAATTTAAGCAACTTACTCAAGGATGCACAGCTCTTAAATATCAGAGCTAGAACCCAAATATTGACAAAACCTATGCCCCTCAACCGTACCACATGGCCTCTGCCTGTGCAAAAGTGATTTCAGTGAATAAAACTGAATTACTTATATCTAATCAAGTTAGCCTAAAATAAATGAGAAATTAGAATTCGTGCAAATAGATGCATCTATATTTAAATTTGTACTCTATAATGAAGGCTAGCCAAATGTAAGCACTTTTAAAAACCAATTAATTTTACACTCTCATAAGTGTATGAGTTAATAGAATGATATAGAATTCAGGAAGTCTAGAGTGGGAGGAGCACTTGGAGCCTGCCTGTCCAACCCTCACTTAACAGATGGTAACAGGCCCAAAGTGGGAATTCACCTGCCACATACCATCTGACTGGCAAAGGCCTGATTGCAGGCCAGGTGCTACATCCCCTAAATTAGGCTACGCCCCGTTGATCTTACTGTATTAAGAGAGGTCTGGTTGGATCAACCTTTGAACTACAGAAGCCTTGTAGCTCTGAAATAGGCATCTGTCCTTTGCTTTCCCATACTGGGAGTGCAGTGATTTGCCCAAGGTCAAGTTGGAAACCTAGGTGTCCTGATTCCTAAGCCAGTGTTTCTTTTTTTTTTTTTTTAATCTTTATTGTTCAGATTATTATAGTTGTTCCTCTTTTTTCACCCCATAGCTCCCCTCCACCCGGTTCCCACCCTACCCTCCGCCCTCACCCCCTTCCCACTGTCCTCATCCATAGGTGCACGATTATTGTCCAGTCTCTTCCCGCATCCCCCACACCCCTTTCCCCCCCAAGAATAGTCCACTTCCTTTCTATGCCCCTGATTCTATTATATTCACCAGTTTGTTCTGTTCATCAGATTTTTTATTCATTTGATTTTTAGATTCACTTGATAGATATGTATTTGTTGTCACTTTGTTGTTCATCATTTTTTCTCTTTTCCTATTTCTTCTTCCTCTCCTTAAAGAATACCCTTCAG